CACACATACATACACACACACCAAGATAACCTTGTGGCAGTGGTGTGTGTGTGCATGTGTTTGTCTTGAAAGGCCATGTCTTCTTGAAGCCAAACCTCCTCTGACATTTGCAGTTATGATCAAGGTATGATGCATTTCCCTGCAGTCTGCTGAGTAACTGCTGACTCAGGATGCATCGGGACTCAGCACCTCCTGCACTAGAAACCAGTTACACCAGTTCTGCAACATACAGAATGCGCCATAATAGAAAAAGAATAGAGATCAGTCTAAGCAGCTCCATGGCAACTATAGTCTGAAATTATTTGCCGAACTCTTTTGATAAAGTACTTAAAGCAGTACACTAGATGAAAAAATACAAAAGAACTGAATAGACCTCAGCTCTAAGAGATAATCCCTGGGTTCCTTTAAAACATGACTCAACCTTCTATAACTGGGCAGAGGCACAAAACTGATTTAATAAGTCCAGACGTTGTGACTTGCAGCGAACACAATGCAACTGACGAAGAACTGCAATCATTTTGTAGAGGAGGAATAAAAAACATCATACAGGGATTAATACATTACAGTATAATAAAACACATGCAATTTAAGCTCTCATGGTAAATGCTCTGACATTCCACAGGGACAAAGTAAGATTTCAATTTATTTAATTAATACTTTAAATAATATTTATAGCATCAACACACCAACCTCAAATAAAAATGTGTGGGCAACAGAAAGCAATAGATTACAATTGTGAGGCTAAGAGAAAGTGCTGGCCATGTAGAAAACATATATTTATTTCTATGATAATGTCTGAATTCATCATCTATTTAGTACATACAGCCACAAATATGTAACACATTTAAAAGTGACGTGAATTTAAAATGTAGTAAATTTACAGGAACAATTAAACAAAACTTAAGAATGTATTTGAGAGGATAAAAATAGTGTTAGTCAAAAAACAACAACTTTGCTTCACTTTAAGAAAAGGTAAGCATGTAATCTGGTTATGAGTGCACCACAGCTGCGCCATTTTATTTTGTCACTTTGAAATTCATGAACATGGCAGGAAACCTTTACAGTAAATTTAGAGACTCCATTTTTAGATTTCGCCTGCTTGATAAAATGCCATTTTACCATTTTTAACTACACTGTTCTTTGGACTTGACAGCTCTGATTGTGTCCCCGTATGAGGTATGGAGCCTCATACACCGCTATTGTTGTATAATGAAAATGATGTAATGTAGCGCCATTTTGACAGGCTACTTCAAATTTAATACCTATCTTGAACATTAAACATATAGAATCCATGACCACCTAGACACTAATCACTGTTTCTGTCTTCTATGATATATTACCTTACTATCAGATTTGAAAGGATTCCCTGAGGATATTTATGTACTAATTTAAAGCATGCAGACCCTTTTACCTGCATGGTTAGGGTTAGTGGAGGTAAAGACATACGCCAGTTCATCATATGTCCTATTTCATAGTGTAACTCACTCCTCAACATCTCAGCATAGCATGGAGAAGATGAGAGAGAGTCAGGGAAGAGGATTGAAAGATGAGAAGATAGAAGTACAGAGATAGCAGAGGAGAGATAAAAAGATTGATTGGATATAGAAGAGCAAAGAGAAGGAGATCGATGGAGGAAGTGAGGAAGAGAAGTGGAATACTACAGCAGCAGAGGGGAGGAGAATAATCACTGGTCTTATCTAAATACAGGATAAAGAGAACAAGCTTTTTTTCTTAATCTACTTTTTTTTTTTGTTGTTGCTAGAACTGCTGACCGATACTGGACAGAAAGCCAGCGTCCAATTCGTGCAAAACTGATACCTTCAAATTAGGATTTTTATTTAAAAAAAATCAGCACTACAGATGCCATAGACCCCAACGTCTCTATATAATGTGTTTAATTACGCCAAGGTAGCAGAGTTTATTTGATAATGAGATGCTACACAGA